TCTTAAATTATATAAATGTCTAACCACTATGCTGTATACCTAAAACTAATATAAAATAATATTGAATGTCAACTCTGAAAAATTTAAAATATGTGGGAAGATAAAGAAGAATAAGAAGTTCAATGTTCTAGGTATAAAACAAATAAGTCTTAGGGATGTAATACACAGTATAGGGAATATAGTCAATAATATTGTGATAACATGGTACAGTGTCAGATGGTTGCTGGGCTTATCATTGTGATCACATCTTTAGCATAGGGAATATAACCAATAATATGGTAATAATTATGTATGCTGAGTGGCAGGTGGGTACTGTTGAATAACTGTGATGTACACATGAAACTAACATAATATTGTATGTTAGCAACATTTTAATAAAAATCTTAAAAATATATATAATTTGGGGAAAATACCTAGGCTACTAATGGAATTAAAATAACGGATCCAGATATTCACCATGAAGAGCCAAGCTATCAGTTCTCCTTTCACCCCTCACCTTGTGAGAAAGGCGAAGTCTGTGTTCTAGGCCATTCACTCCCAGCTCTTCTGGCTTCTTATAATCCCTTGGCCAAGAGGCAATGACTTCTTTGCTTTGGTTTCATCAGGACATGCACCTTCCCCTTGCTGATGTACTTTATTTTCAAAAGGTACCTGGTCCCATTCTTACCTATCCCCAGTCATTCTTTGCACAGTGACTGTACCTAACTTGATAAATTAATCAGAATAATGTGCTCATAAGTGCTCAATTATAAATTTATGTATTAACTCTCCCAAGTAACTCTTGGTTTTTTAATAAAATAATTCAGAAAAGAGGTGCCTTTGTATTCATTGTTCTCTTGACCATATTCTTTGCCAACCCTACAAGTTGTTTCCTTTCTGCATTCTCAGACTTATTTTAAACCCTCAAACCTAGGTCCTTCATTTTTCTCAATACAATACAGTAATCTAGTTGGTGTGGATTCTTTCAAAAGAACAGGATTTGAAGATTATTCCATGTAAGTTAATATAGCTCTTCCTCATTCCAATTAACTGCTGTATTGCATTCCACAGCAAAGGCTTATACCACAGTTCATTGTCATTCCCATATTGATAGACATTTAGGTTGTTTATAATCTTTCATGAGTATAATGAATGTTAAAATGAACATCTTTATTGTATATACACCAACCTCTACGTATATGAGAATTTTTCTATTGTAGACATCTAAAAACTAGAATTTCTGAGATACAGGGTACATGGTCTTTTTGGTCATAACAAATACAGAAATATTTCCCTCTGATATGAATTCCATTTTTTATCTCCAACCAGTAGTGTATTATAATTGCCCATTTCCACATATTTGGCCAACACATTGTCTTATGAAACTCATAAACATTTGCCATTCAATTGAGCTGAAAGTAGTTCTAATTTTATTTCCATGATTAGTAGTAAGGTTGAACATCATTTTTATGTTTATTGACTATATATACTCATATAATCTACCTGTGATTACTTCTTAATTTTTATTCATGCTTTCTATATTTTTTCCTTATTATGTGTATGATTTCTTTATATATGTTGGGTACAAATCATGTGTTATCTATGTGGTTGTCTTTTAACTTTTTTATCGTATCTTTTGTTGTTCACACATTTTTAGTTTTCAGAAATATTGAACATATATATATTATGACACTTAAGACACTACTGTGTTTGTTTTCATTTTGGTATCCCCCATTAGAAAGTAAATTTCTTGAGAGTAGCTGGGTTTTATTCATTTCTATAGCAACCAGCAAAAAATCTACATTGTTTGAAGCTTTTCTTTTGTTTTCTTTTTTTTTTTTTGAGGGTAGATGAGGGTTTGAAGCTTTTCAGTCAATATTTGTAGCATCAAGTTGATGATGCTTTTAACCCAGAGGAATGACAATGACTCTTAGAATAAAGAAATGATTAAGGAAATATTACTGGGGAACCTATAAGCTCTGAGAATTTTTATTTTATACCATTTGTAGTAAAAATCCCTTTCTGGCAGCTCCAGGAGCAGTCGCTCTTCAATCTGTTTTTCCAGATCTTGTCCTCAATTTTTCTCACAGGATTTCCCCCTTTCTACACCACCCCCCCACACACAATGTCTCTGTGAAAGACAAAGCTTCCCAAAGCAGTCCTCAAACAAGGCAGCTTCTCACGTCCCCACCCAGGGCTGGTATTTATACTGAGGTAGCTTTTGAGTTTAAAGCTGTCCCAATATCCTCCTCTCCCACATTCCTTCTTAGGAAAAAACAAACAAAATGGTGAGGAGAGCAGGGATGGGCAGGGAAAGCTAGCCAACTGAGTCTGTATCTCACAAACTCTTGTGGGAGTCTTTGTAGGAAATGTACAAAAAGAACAAACAGTCTTCATGAAGCCCCATTCAGGGACATTGCTGACTAGATTCCCAAGAATGAGGAGGGCCTCACGTGTTTCAACAGAGAAATTAATGTGTTTAAAACAGACCAGCTTCCTTTCTTGTCCCATTCTAATATACAGCAGTTTCATCAAAACTTCACCCAATTAAGGGGAAAAAAATGATCTACTCATACCATGCCACGTTGAGGAAACATAAAATGGAGACAAAGTCAAAATAATATCTATGGTTTCTGAAGTTTAGTTATTTTATTAATAAAAAAGTACAATAATCAAACATAACAAGATTACTTAGTACCCAAGCACACACCCTGCCTTGATACCACAGAGGGAGTCCCATTAAAGTTACAACAGAGTAACCTCTAAGTGACCATGCTAACTGAGGCAATTCTTGAGTATCTCCAGGTGTATAACAGCCTTGTATATAAGAGATCATTCATGATCCTAGCCTCAAAGCCATGTCTCTGGAGCAAGAACTAGTATAAAATAGAGGAAAAATGGGGTGGTGCTCTGAAGCACTGAAATAACGAGGCACAAACATAAGTTATAGAGACTAAAGCTTATATACTGTTCTGTAATTTCTTTAAACAAAGTAACAATGAAAAAACATTAAATCAATCCCTTCATTGCAAGCTTCTTTCCCCAACACAAAACAGAAGTCACTTTCTGGGACTGTTCTCCTGCTGGGGCCTACCACCAAAAAACAGGGATGTACAACACTAGGTATTCTCTTCCTCTTTTTACTCAGAAATATGATGAAAACATCACTGCACACAACATAGTTAAAAAGTAATGTCCAACACAACTACTTGTACTGACCCTGGGAAATATCTACTAGGAAGGGCAGTTTCTTAACAGTTAACAAAATAGCATCTCTCCCCCTTCCCCTGACCCACCACCAGAAAAGGAAATGGAAGGTGAAATCAGTGTTTGAGAATCAAAGAAATATCCTGCCACTGGTATAAACTGTATCCTTTTCCATCCCACTCCCATCCCAACCACCCTCACTCCACTTCTCTCCTGCCTATACTGTTCAGAGTACAGTAAGTCAGGAAAGAGAAAAATGTAACTGGTGAACTTGAACTGGCCAATTTCTGAAGGGCTCTGGGAAATTGCCTTTGTGCTTCTGACAGGGTGACATGCAATGTGGTCCAGGCAGAGTGAGAAAAGGGGAAGAAAAGTTTTTGAAGCAACATATTTTGCCTACCTATCCCTTTAGGCCCTTATATGTTTTGAATCTGGAAACAGATGAGAATCCTATAGTTAGCAATGAAGAGAATATAAGGAAAGTGAGAGGAAAAGAGGAAATAATATCGCTTCCAGTGGCTATTCTTCAATTATTCTTGTTATTGATTCAAATTTAGCTCTTTATCACCCATAAAGCCTAATCCTCTCCATTTTCTAGGGTAAATATAGGGTACTATAATTATCATCATAGTAATGATCATAATACTTTGTTATTCATTTAAGGATCTCCCATCATTTTTGCCAACATGCATTAATAAGAATCCTCACAACATTCCTGTGAGGTAGCTATTTAGATCCCCATTTTATAGATGGGTTAACTGAGGCACAGAGAGGTGTTGTGACTCGCCTAAGATCAACCAAGTAAGAGATGGGAAAATAGAGAAGACAGTAACTTAGGGTAGCACTCTTATTGTCAGACAGCCATATTTCTCAGTGAGAAAAGAGAGTGCTAATTGCATCTTTAAATCAGGCACATTCACTTTCTTCTGTGTCCATATCTCTATATAGGTATTAGCACTGTGGAGCATCAATAATTTCCCTTGGCTTATTCAAGATTAGGTTAATTCCCAATGGTTTGATTCTTAAGATAATGTTTTTGCGGCAGGATAGACCCCCAAGTTCCTGGAGCTCAGATCATAGAAATCCTTATTCCTGAATTTTGCAAATCACTTTGTTTCTAAGAGCTGTTGAAATTAAAACATGTTACTATCATATACATAAGCACTGTGTTCTAGTTGTTACCCACGGGTTAAGAATTCAGATACCGCTATACATGTATACTGGAATTGAACAATTAAGTAAATAGAAGTCAGAGTGGGGCAGCCAGGTTTCTCACTGTTTGAGTGGAAAGTTACAGATAAGCAAAGGGAAAAGGTTAGAATGATCCATTTGGTAATGGATTGGAGTTGGAGACATCAGTATGAACTCACATTTAGCTTAATAAAGATATGGATGATTACATGTAGAAATATTCATAGATATGTGCATATATACATGAGTTAGTGTACACACATACATTTCCTTGTTCTGTCAGCTGAGATGGCCTAAAAATAACACCACCACAGTAGCAACAAGTATACCTATTGGCCACATCTTGGTTTATAATACAATTCTCCATTAAAAAGAACCAGAACACTTAAAGAAATGGCTGATTATGGGAGTGGGCCAAAAAATATACAAGATGAACCTGGAGCATTTTATAGTGCCAGAAAATAATTATATGCTAAAAAAATGATGAGGGTATGTCAAAATGACTTGGGAGTCAATCCAAAAAAGTGTCCAATGTCCAAAGCTGGAACAATTTGAGCAAACAAAATAAAGTTTTATTGGATTATAGCTCAAAGCATAAAATAAATATCTATGAGTCCATACTAACACATGTAAATGACTGGATAAATAAATAAATGAGGAAGAGACAAATCTCCCACGCATAATTCCAAATAATTTTTGTAGATATTCATACTCAAGGATGTGGTGCATAATTCACCACTCCTTATGTGTGGGTTGCACATAATGACTTCATTCCACGAAGTACAGTATGGAATGTGAGGGGGGGCGGGAGGGGCAGTGGAGAGTACAGAGGGGAAAGCTGACAAACACTGTTTCAGCCAGGTGATCAAGCTTAACATCAAGGATATAAATCATGTTACTATGATGTGATGAAAATAGCATTTTACCTCTATGGTCTTTCTCCCCAAAACCCATAACTTCAGTTTAATCATGATAAAAACATCAGACAAATCTCAACTGAGGGACATACTCCTCAAAACTCAATGTGATAGGAAACAAGGAAAATCTGAGAAACTGTCAAAACCAAGAGAAGCCTAAGGGTATATGAGTATTAATGTGATGTAATATCTTGAATGGGATGCTGGAACAGAAAAAGAATATTAGGTAAAAATTAAGGAAACCTGAATAAAGTTTGGACTTTAGTTAATAATAACATATAAATATTATTTCACTAATTATAACAAATGTTCCATACTAATGAAAGATGTTAATAACAGGGAAAACTGGATGTGGGGTAAAGGAAAACTCTCTGTACAATATTCACAATTTTTCTGTAAATCTAAAACTGTTCTAAAATGAAATTTTTATTTGAAAAGTTAGCTCAAAAACCTTTCTGTCTTGCCCATAATTCACTCCACTTAATCTCCCCAACCAGTTCACATTCCTCAGTTTTTCCTAAATTTTCCAATCATAATTATCAATAGTTATGTTCAACTGCCTATCATCTACAGATGGAAGAAGTCCACTGCAACAAATCCCAGGATATTATAAACCCAATCAAAACAAGGCCATTTTCCATGCCCTAGGCAATTGTCCACACAATGGTGCTTTGCTGTTGTGAGCACAGCCTATTCAATTAATCCCAAATGCTATCTAAGAGAGACATTTCCTTTTAATCTCACTATTAGCAAAACTCTATGTGCTTTTGGTGCAGTACTGTATTGTACTGTATTTGTATCCCTCTACTCTATGAAATACTCTTAATAAATTTTCACATATTTCTTAAGGAATATGTAAGTGAGTGGAATAATTTTATCATTATTTGGAGGGGAGAGGGGAATAAGAATAGGATTAGAATTGTTTCCTGACTGTAGACAATTAACAAAGAATTTGACAAAGTCCCACACTGCAGGAAAATTTTTGAAAGCTTAGCGATGTCAGGCATACCAATATTTGGAATTTTAATTTGATCATCTTAGTATAGCATGTTTGATAGCTTTTATTTATTAATAGAGTATATACTCCAATGCAAAAGATCCTGAGTCTAAGGGCGCAGAATAGTTATGAACTCTGAAAAAGGGAGTCTGAGGACCCAAAGTCCAGAGAAAACGGGTAAGTCCTTGGACTCTACTGTAAAATATAATCTCAATTACTCTATTATAAGCTTAAACCAATTATGATGGTAATTCACATTATGTCTTAGAGCTACATAGAAGTTCCCTTTGACAGACTGGCCCTAGATATGTCCTACTGCGTTAACAATTAGTCTACAGTGTGGAACTTGCACACCAAAAGTCAGGGAAAAGTCTATATAAAAATAACAATGATAATAGTAAAAATCCACATGTCATTGTGAAAAATATAGGCAGTCCTTCAATTTATGAGGGTTTACGGTCTGGAAAGACATTGCATGTTGAAATGAGGTAAATAAAATCTCAGATATTATAGAAAGTGTTAGAAGAGAAAAATTGTGTACCTAATGTTATATGTCGGTGACCACAAGAACATTTTACTTACTATTTAATCAACCCTAAATTATTTTGTGAGTGGTCTAAGGTTTTCTGGAGCATAAAATATAAAGTTGGACAAATACTGCAACTAATCATGTAGTTTTCTTTAATTTGTTTTAATAATATGATCCCTGGGAGAATAGATGTACAGGTCTATTAAGTCCTTAAGAAAACATCTGGGGAAAGAATATGACCTGTAATTTATCTCATCTGTAAAATATGAATGATGGGTAGTACTAAATGGTTAATAGGATCTCTTATTGGTGCTAGAATTCTATGATTTAGTCAGAATGGACGGCCTTGGGAGGTAGTAACTTAAAGTGTTCAAACAGGGTCTGGTTGAATATCTGCCAAGGAAAAGGGGTTCAATATGAAGACAACCTTTAGGAGAGAGGCTTAGTCCAAAGTTAAGTGATGCAAACCTCCCTCTCCTCCAGGAGAGAGGAAATAAGCCATGTGGAGGTAGATCTGAGGTCCAGGGCCTGGAACACAGTGTTTTATGTTCCAGAGACTATTATAAAACAGTCACAATGGTTAATCAAATGTGTATATTATGCAATGTGCTATAATGGCTAAAAGAAATGGCTTAGGTGCTCATAGCAGTTGCAAAACATCAAGTTGCTTTTTGTATTTCAGTTTTTACTAAAAGCCTCTTATATTCCATTTAAAACACAAGAATGCATGCTAATAATGCCACAGAATGAACAAATACTTTTCTTACAACCCCTCACCTTTGTATAAAATGGCCCCAGTGTGTGATTTCTCAACATGCAATATGCTCATAACAGTTGCTTAATGTAAACAAAAAAATAAACAGTACAGGTGCAGCCGCTCAAGACACTGTCTGAACAGGCTGCCATTTGAATGAGGTTTGTGATCACAGCACATTTAGTATCCTATCCAAATGAAAGGCCCACTCTATTTGTTTTCAGAATTATTTTGATTCTACTTGTTCCTGTCACTGCCCAACATACTCTCCTGGAACACTTTTCATCCTACTGGCATGTCGATGTGTGCTTTGATTACTTGTCCAAATTTAACCTAACAAAGAATATGATTGTGCTGTAAAATCTTTAATTCTGAAGGAGGAAGGAGAGGAAGAAGGATAAAGAAAGACAAGATCCATTCATTCCTTTCCATGGACTTAAGAAGCAGAAGCACCAGCACTGTCTGAAAACCAAACTGTAAGAACAAATAGGATTGAATTTACAAAACCTTTGAGTTTTGTATGAGACTCAGCTTATTCACTGAGAATGTGTCCTATACTCAGGACCCAAATCCGTGTAAATCCTATCAACCAACTATAATTGTTATCCCCTCTTCCATCTAGGAACTTGGAAAAAGTCAATTTAAAATATTACCAACCACTTTTAAGCACTGATTCAAAAAATATATATATATATATGGATAAGAATTCTAGAAAACAAGAGAAAAAAAAACCAGGAAAAAAAGCAGCGTATGTTTGTTCACAGCCTTGAGTTTGATTCCTGTTTTGTTATTGTAGGAAAAATGTCCTATCGCAGATCATGGGTGCTGCGCTTTTATTCAACCCATGTAGAGGTCAAGAAAACTGGGGACTGGATAGTGAAGAGGTGAAGATGGAATATGAGGAGCCCCCATAGGAAGCCAGCTATCTTTTCCTCCAGGCTTAACCTGGCTCAGTGAGCTGCACCAACCCCATCTCAGAGGCAAGCTGAAATCAAAGAGGAAAAGATGGTCACAACCAGCTCATATACAGGAATGAGACCAGAGCAGCTCTTCTAGTGCGGACTGTGCTGCTCACATGGTGTCATGGCGACGGCGGTGCAGGGACAGGTGGTCAGAGCGAGAGAAGCTACGGTTGCAGTTTGTGCACCTGAAGGGCTTGATGCCCGTGTGCTTGCGGAAATGGCGGGTGAGCTCATCTGAGCGAGCAAATTTCCAGGAACAGCCATCCCAGGTGCATTTATAAGGCTTCTCTCCTAGAAAAGGGAATATGAAAAAACAAACAAACAAACAAAAACAAGAGGAGTCAGAGAAGAGATGTTTGGATACTGAAGAGATAACAGAGTACATAAGCTTTTATTAAGGCTTTGGTCAAAATGGTGAGGCAATCATTTTGAAGACATACTCTCTCCTGCCTTTACAGAAGTCCTAAAGAGAAGCTGACATGGTAGAGTGGAAGGCACATAGGTGCTGGCTCAAACAGGCCTTTTCTTGAATCCTGGCTCTACTATATACTAGCTGTGTGACCTTAAATAAGTCACTTCTTCCTGGCTGGGTCACTGTTGTCTCATCTCCAAAGGGGGATAAAAATATCTCACAAGGTTGTTTAACCCATTTTCTTTTTGAACACAGATAGTAAATGATAAAACTGGGTTCCAAACCGGTCTTTGACATTTTCCACTGTATCACACTGTATTAACCATATCCTCTTTTAATACATCCCAACAAATAGTGTAAAATAGTGTAAAATAGAGCCATGTATGTTTCAGTAGAATAAGCCCTCAGCTCAGGCTACAGGGCTTATGTGTATGGTTAGAAATTCAAGGACATGGAATGGGGTGAGGAGAAGCATCAAGTCAAATTTTTTGAAATAGTTCCATGCTCAGTATCCCCAGTTGCATTTGGGTTCTATGTGGAATATAATGCTCTGGATAAAGAGATGTGATATGTGAATGTGTATATATATATATATATATATATATATATATATATATATATATATTTCCATTCATCTATTGATGGACACCTAAGTTGTTTCTACATCTTGGCTATTGTAAATAATGATGCAGTGAACATGGGGTGCAACTATCTTTTTGAATTAGCGTTTTCAATTTCTTTGGATTAATACCCAGAGGTGGGATTGCTGGGTCACAAGGTAGTTCTATTTTTAACTTTTTGAGGAACCTCCATACTATTTTCCATAGTAGCTGCTATAGTTTACAATCCCATCAGATTTATTAAATAAATATATGAGCAAAAATAAATATTAACTGTGTTTAAGTCTAGGTCGTAAGATTAGGGTAATGTTTGTTTTCTTTTTTATTTAAGTATAATTGGCATACAACAATATTACATTAGTTTCAGATGTACAACACTGTGGTTCAACATTTATATACCTTATAATGTAATCACCGCCCTAAGTCTAGTAACCATTTGTTTTCTTCTTAATGTGTTTCTATGTTTCCTGTCTTCTACAATGAACATATATAACTTTATAATCATAAACAAGCAATAATGCAGACTAAAAATGCATTGGTATTCTAATGGTCTTTCTTCCTCTGGCTTGCTCTCCTTCCTTTGTAAAATTCTCCAGGGAATTTAATTTCATGCTGTTCTAAATTCTGGTAGAAATCTGGCTGTACATACCACGTTTCAAAGTATTGCTCATCACCTACCAATCCTCTCAAGTGTTTATTAATTAACTGTACAGTTTTCAAAAAATTGGCAGCAAAATGAAATTCACTCTTACTCAGTTTTGGACCATACTCAGGCAATCATTTTGAGGAATAATGATGTCAATTACTGATCAATTCAATATTCATAAATTGCTACATTAGGTGCTAAAAGAATAAGATAAAGTTGTACACATTAAGACCAAAAGATAGCCAATGAAATGTTATCAAATGTAAAGAGAAAGCTACACACACAGGGATCTCATTTATGTTTTCTAAACTTCTTGCCCCTGTGTGTATCTCTTCTCTCTCTCTCTCTCTCTCTCTCTCTCTCTCTCTCTCTCTCTCTCTCGCACACACACACACACACACACACACACACACACACCAGACAAAGAAAAATGGGTCTAAAAGACTAGACTGCAAATTATTAACAGTGGGAAGAAGAATGAGACTGCAGATGGTGTTGAGAGTGTGTAAAATGGAATTCTCACTTTTTGGTATATATAATTCTATCCAATCTCCACACCTCCCAACTGTTGCATTGCTATAAATTGTGTTGCAATCTCTCAAAAATTTCTCCTGAGAATTCCTATATTCTCTACACTCAAATGAAGAAAATTTGACTTGCAAAGCAGTGACACCCTGTGGCGATCAAAGTTCATTGCTCTGTACAGGAATTCAGCATGGAGAGCAATACTTCTATTTCAAAAGCAGTTACCTTTTATTATCATTGAACAAGCTCCTGTTTGTGCCAATGTACTTCATCGGACACAATTTATGAACTCCCTCAACATATCATCTAAATTGAAGAACAAAACACACACAGGAAAACTAATTCCTAAAATAAACTATAAATATAAGAGTGATATAAGTTCCAAGGCTAGATAATAATTTGTGAGGTAATATGAAGGCATTGAACTGGAGGTGTGGATAAGTTTTAGATGGGTAGAACAGAAGGTATAAAACAACCCAGTTAGTATGGGGGCATGAGCTGGTAAGGCAATACAGTGAACAAGTCGTACCCTGAAGCTTGAGGTGCCTTTACAGAAGTGCTGCAAGATAGCCCATTATAAAGGTAAGATTAAGAATTTAGATTTTTGCATAAGAGGTAGTGACATAACAAAGAAGGGGGCAGTGAGAGTAGTCTGCCTCAGGTATAGGCAAATGGGGATGCATTTAAAATGAATATAAAAAGAAATTAAAAACAATAATAAAATAGACTAAAAGATAGTTTGCTCTTTGCTAAAATCATGTTCTAATTATTAACAATGTCAACGATAAAATCCTCTTTCCTCACATGACAGAGACCTCCCATAATCCTCTTCCTCTTTGTTCACAAATGCCTGCAGGAAATGGTGGGGTGAGTGGGTAATACTGAAAAATTATGAATTCAAGAGAGACTTGGGGGCTGGCTGAGTGGCGCATTGGTTAAGAGCTGGTCTGGGATGCCAGGGAGCCCCGGTTCGGATCCTACATATCAGGGCCAGTGACACTGCCCTCTACAGCTAAGATGCTGAACAACAGCTCAACCTGGAGCTGGGCTGTTGTGAGTCGCCAGCGACGGCATAGACTGCAGCCCCTGTGGCAGTGGGTTGCCATGGGTTACCGTGTGTAGCCAGCAGCCAGTGTGAGAGGCCAGCAGCCCCTGTGAGTGGCCATCCAGAAGCCGGCGACCGATCTGCCTCACCCAGGAAGAGTGCAATGATGGTGCCAACTTGGGCCAGTGAAGCAATGTCCTCCACAACTAGACTGAAGAACAAAAGGAAAGCAACTTGTCTGTTCCCATCCCCCAATTCCCCAATAAAAATCTTAAAAAAAAAAAAAAAGAGACTCGGGAGATTTCCAGTTAAGCTGGTGGAGTAGATAAAAGCTGTGCTTGCCTTCTTTCATGACTACATCAAAATTACAACTAAACTATAGAAAAACCATCATTGAGAATTGCCTGAAGTCTAGCTGAACCAAAGTTCTACAACTAAGGACACACAAAAGAAGCCATCTCGAGGATGGTAGGAAAGATGGAGATGAAGAATGAGCTAGTCCTGGGGCTGGTCAAGTGGCTCAGTTGGTTAAGAGCCCGACCTCTGAGCAACAGAGTCGCTGCTTCGATTCCCACATGGGCCAGTGAGCTGCACCCAAGCTGAGCTCAAACTGAGCTGCCAACAGGTAGCAGGATGGCTCTGCTCGTGAGAGCATGTGCTCCTAACAAAAAGGTTGCCAGTTTGACTCTCACATGGGATGATGGGCTACGCCTACCCGCAACTAAGATTGAACATGGCACCTTGAGCTGAGGTGCCCTGAGCTGCCGATGGGAGGCCGGATGGCTTAGTAGTTAGAGCGTGTGCTCTTAGCAACAAGGTTTTGGTTTGACACCCGCATGGGATGGTGGGCTATGCACACCTGCAACTAAGATTGAACATGGCACCTTGAGCTGAATGGCTGCGAGCTGCCAATGGGTGGCCGGATGTAATGGAACTTAGAGCTGAGCTAGCTGAGCCCTCCACAACTAAGACTGAAAGACAACAATTTGGCTTTTCCCCTTCCCCAATTCCCCAACACTGTTCCCCTTCCCCAATTCCCCAACACTGTTCCCCTTCCCTAATTCCCCAATAAAATCTTTTTTAAAAAAAGAGTTAGTCCCACACCTGTGTGTGGCAGTTAAATATCGGGAGGGATATCTCAGCTGAGGAGGTCCCCCCAGAGGAGTGAAGGGTCCAAGTCCCATTCAGAGCTCCCCAGCCCAGGGTTCCAGTGCCAGGAAGAGAAGTCCCCACAATTTCTGGCTGTAAAAACCAGCAAAGATTGTGGTTGAGTGAGATGAAGGATAGGTAGAGTCCCAGGTGGTCCTCTTAAAGGTACCACACATGGACTTACTCGCTGATGGACTCACTCACTCTGAGCTCTAGCTTTGGGGCACAGCTTAAAAGGTGCCAGGGACATACAGGGGGGAACTGAGTTGTCTGGCTTGAGGGTGAGGGCTGGAGGGTCAGCTTTATCCCAGACAGAAGTTCTGGAAGAATCCATTGTATCTTTGTATCTCCCTCATCCTGGCATGCAGACACAGATGGCCACCATATACGAGACTCCATGAACCTAGCTAACACTGTTCTTCTGTCCCACCCTGGTGATTTCCTGAGACCCTGCTCCACCCAACTTGCAGGCCCACCCAAGCTGATTCCAGTGGATTTTCTATACAAACGGTCTGTCTTGGCTCATCCTGTGAAATTTCCTAAAATCTCAAAGATTCAGAAACCCCAAAGAAGCAGCATCTGGCTTTGGCATGTCCCATATCATTTGCAGAGCAGCCTCAAACCCGGCAGTAACACAGCCAGCCTAGGTTCCAATTTGGCCTCTTGAGGCACTTCCAAGTCTAGTAAAGGCAGCAGACAACTGCAAATTGCTTTGTGGTTCATGCCAGGTGGACCTGGGCAGGGTACAGGCTGCAGCTGCACATGGTCTACAGTGGGTCCTCTTGAGGAGGCCCTGGGGCTGGCAGCTTCAGATCCAGCCAGAGCATCACCGGCTCCTTCCAAGGATAACACACCCAAAGGGCAGACTGAGCAGGCACAGTGCCCTGCTAAAGA